ACGGACGAGAACTTTGATCGTGATACAGTATAGCAGTGATGGGCAACTCAGCGCCCGCCAAACTCACTAGCGGGCAACAACGTGCAGCATGCGGGCATATGGCAGTGGTGGGTGAAATGTGCGAATGAGAGCACGTATCTATAATTTTCTTCACACACAAATATGTCGTGAATCACGACTCGTGACTCGTGATGTGTCCTGCTTCGCAACCCCTCCACAGGAGTCCGACATCTATCGTATGTCCCCAAGAATGAAAATTTCGACGACAAATGGATGAAACTATTCCATATGAAGCTTTGAACATCGTACGGAAGTTACAAGTTATAGAAGAGGGAATTATTTTTATTGTAATAAGTCTGAATAATATTTAAGCCATGTTTTACTGAATTTATACACATATTGTTACAAATATATTGTAAACTCGTACATATATAAGTAGTGTTTAAGGCAATTGTTGTGAAATTTATTCAAATACTGTTGTAAATTGTGTATTTTCATCAGATTTTTTTAGCCAATTTATTAAGCCTATCACTACGACTATCTCATATTTTCCATAAATAAATAAATAGTAATTGGTAAACTTACGTAAAATTGTAATAAAATCAATTTAAAGTTTAATTTAGCGCGAAATTTAAATTTGAAAAAGCGCTGGAAAACTGCAAAAACTGTAAATTTATACAATTTACAATGGTATTTGTATAAATTTAATAACAATTGCTTTAAATACTACTTATACATAATGCCCGTGCGGGCAACATGACAGAGCGGGCTCGGTTGCCTATCACTGCAGTATAGGTAACAGATGAACGGTTCATCGGGAATCGTGTTAACTGTTATCAAACCCAGCACACAAATCGAATAATTCAATTATAGTTATATAACCCTACATCTCACGAAGAGTGTCGTAACCGGGAGGCGTTCAACGTCCCTCCCCCAGCTTCCTCCGTCCTCTGTGAAAGACACTTCAGCCGATAGAGTGAAGTTAACAATGGAAATCCGTGCAAACTTATCGCCCGCATTTGAATGAATCCCCCGTTAGAAAGCGTTCGAGGCACTTTCCGCGGAGTTGCCCTACGAGAACAACTCCGTCTGGGTCCGCAGTTTTGCAAGATTCGTCGGATGCAGTAGCTATTATCGGAATCCTGGTTCACTGGGTAGGATCGACACAATCTCAGCCATACAAGCAAATCTCGCTCTTTTTCGAGGCGAGTATTTCGCGTTGCTCCCCGTTGTTCACTCGTCCCCGTTCCTTCAGACAGGTTATTTACAAGCTCCTGGCTACCCCCTAGCTTATTGTCTTCGTTCGTTCGAAGATCCAAAGTTTGCACGGTTGCTTCCTCCCGGAACATCTCTAAACTTCGAAAATCCACGTTTGCTTAGTGGCTTCCTCCTGAAAGATTTGTAAATTCTGAAGATCCACGTTCGCCTGATCGCTTCCTCCATGAAGATCCACGAACGTTCTCGAAAGGTCTCGTATCTTCAACCTAGCTAGAAACCAGGTAAACAGCCCCTACCTTCCTGGCTTCCTCGAACGAACGATTCGTCGATCCAGACCGCCTCTAGTAAATCCAGCCAATAAATAGTCCCAGGCCGCCTAGGTCGCGAGGCTGAGCGGCGATCATTAAGCTATCTCTAGCTGGCAAGCCAATCGGCTTACCTCGGAGATCCGGTTCAGCCGGTAGGCTAACAAGCCCCCTACTCCGTCCTCTTCCAGGCAAGATTAGAGTTCCAATCCGTTTCCGTTATCGGGCCCTCCCCGCCGAAATTTCACCAACGATACAAACCTTCGCGCGCGACACAGGCTTTCCGATCAGCAGCACCATTTCCCTTGTTTATTTCTCTTGTTAGTGATCTCCGTAGTTCCCCATATCCTTGCGCTAGCTCGTCGTCAACAAGAGTCATCCACCCTCTCCCGGTAGCTACCAGGTCGCTGCAACTTCCCTAGATACAGGGAAGTATAGTTGGCGGACCTTTAAGTAGAACACGATAATAATAACGCATCATGAATTCACATGATGAATGGACATCAGCTCCACGTCATCATCCATTAGCGGTTCTTTGGCATCGTTAAGCTCCTCGAGACGACGCTGGGTCGACCGCGGGGATTCACCTAAATAAGCATAACCACCGCCCCTCCGAAATTTCTGCAAGCTATCCCCATTCGATTCTACGTTACCTCCCCCCTCCGTATACCATACTACCGCCGCCGCCGCCGCCACCACCCCCTTGGCCCCGCCTTCGTCCGCCGCCGAAAAGTAAACCCACGAGAGATCTTTAGTTCTAGCTCCGCGGAACGGTGTCCTTAGTCTAGCGGTAGCGCTGAACTAGTATAGTGGTCAGCTTTAGAATTTATAGAGGATCCATTGAGTTTTCCACGCTTTTGTCGAGCCTATCTATATCTCCGTTCACTACTCTCACCCCCTCCCCCACCACCACCGCCACCATCACCGCCGCAACCACCGCCACCGAATCCACGATCGAAAAGTAAAGAAAGACAGGCCTAGGAAAGGATTGACGAGGGACGAGGCGGAATCGATATCAAAATGATCACGCGTCCGACACACGTCTGCTTTCTCTATGAACATTCTCTTTACTGTGTCTGTCTGTCCGTCTGTCTGCCTGTCTGTCCGTCTGTCTGTCTGTTCGGCTTTCGGATGATTGTACAAGGTGATTCGATGGAATCGACGGCCTTGATTTACTCGTCAACTGCTCGTTACGTGGATATGGTACGAAGATCGAGTGGCCTGTTAGACGACACGTGTAAAGTTTTGAATAACTTGTTTCTTTTCTTGAGTTTTTTTGAAGTTTCACAATTGAAATTTTTGTTTTGTTATTATGATGGTTCTTTTTATTTTCGTGGTTTACGTTTTTTGTAATGCTGATAATTGAAGTGAGTATAGTTTAGTGAGAGTTGATTAATAAATGAGTTTATAGTGATTGCTTGTAAGATGTTCGTAATTTAAACTAGTTCTACGTATATTAGAGAAATTAAGTGTTTCATACATTGCTTTATTTAAGTTTGATGTTTTTCTTTTAATTTGAGTTTATATGACTCTTTATTTGCAAAGAATTTTCAATATTGTATTTCAATTTTAATTATATTCAAATTTCGTGTAAAACTGAATACAATTACAACCAACGTGTAAAATTCAATGTTGATAAAGAATGGTACTTTGTCGTTTGCATAATTGTTTAAAAATCATTTCATTCACAGTACATTGAAACTATACTAAATACGGACCATGTCACGTAACGAACCGATCTCGAGTAATCCAACGTCACCTGTTCACATTGTTCACCCTGCACACAGGTGATTCAAAATGACAAATCAATACTTCACACGATTGTGTCGACGACAGTTCGATCGAGCGTGTGTCTAATTCCGAATGGTAATACAATATGGCAAGTTAAATCCCGACAACGTACATTTACTTCACATTGAACGTAAATTACATGTTGAATTTAAGTAACGAATAACAAAAATATGTTAACGATCCTCTCGTAAAATAAATTCTTTTCATAGGTGTCTAATAGTTTTTAACGGGCATTTTTTATCGCGAAACTTTAAAGAACTCCATTTATCAAAAGGAAAGTTATAAACTTTTACTGTACTCTTAAAATTTTTTAGACCCTCGCGATCTGCGTTCACTTGAAAAAGCATTTTAACGTTTTACGAGCGTTGCTCCTGTTCTCGATTGACCTAAAATCATCAATGTTCCTATTCAAAGTAAATAAATAGTGTCTTCCAAACAAATAAAAAATATTCTTCTATTTAATAGATCAATAGTAAAGTTCTTTGATCACTTTCATTTATAAAAGTGTATTTGATTATTAGGTTTGTTAGATAGTTCTAGACGTTTTCATTCAATTATGCTTTGTACAGTCACATCAGCCAGAAATCAATAGCATCTACGGTTACGGTAGTCATAATACGCATTCATTGTAACTGAACTTTCAAAATTAATCCGGAACACTGTACCAATTACTTTGTCTGCCATCTTTTACACGAAAATTCTCCATTTTCTTTTCATTAAAACACGGTTAAAAAACATTGACTTCATAAAATCCACATTCAATATTAATAGGAAGCGAAATAGTAATTAATATTTCCAGTCGTTATTTTATCACTTTTCCAAGTACCATTTTGTTATTAAAACATCAATAAAAATTATCCAATAGAGCATTCCAACAAACCTGAGCACACTTGTGTCAGTAAAATCCGCACTGCAATTAGCAAGAGCATAACGAGTCCTAATAAATAAACTGCGAACTTTATGCACCTATTGAGTATTTGATTGTTTATAGCTCAGTAAACAAAAATCATTTAATGAAGTTCGATGAAATTTTCATATTATTTGTAACCAGAGATTGTCTAGTAACAAAACAAAGCCATGGAGGGATGGATTTAACTCTTTCGCCCCTAACGCCAGCCTCCATAAAGTGATGCGTGGATACAAATGCTGTCTATATCCGTCATCCATAGATCATTAAATACAAGGTTTTAAAAAACGACAAAATATAATTTTAGATAACAATTGCTTTTATATGAATTTTATTCTGTGTAAAAAATCATAATCTTCAATACAATAATTTAAAACAGTAAAACAATCAAGAAACCTATCATGATTCCTGCCAGCCTACATTCCCATTAATGAGCAATCACAACTCGGCTGACGCTACCGTAGCGAAAGGGTCAAGTCCCCATACAATTGGCTCGAACACAATGAAATGAAAAGCCTAATGAATGTTTCATTATCAATCTTATCCTCCCAGCCATTCGGAAATAGACACACTCTTACATCATGCTGTCAAAGTACGATCAAATGTACACACACACCTTGTCTCTTCTCATGTGATCCATAGCAAGCCTTGTCTTCTGTCACTCGTTCGACCACCCCACCCCACCACCATTGCACCCTTGTAACACCACCACCAATCGCGCCTAATGTAACCAGTATCTGTATGCTCGAATAACAACGTGATATATAAAACACGCCCAGTTCCCGTGGTGGTGCAAATCGTCGTCGACGACAATGCCGACGACACCTCCGCCGCCCATGGGTATGGGACTCGGTTCCGGCTCCGGTATGCAGGGCGCCCAGGGGGTCGTACTCTGTCCACGTACGCTGTCGCAGGTCCGACGATCACGGCTACGAAGGGCCCTCACCGAGGCGACCGCCGAGACCGTCAACTACGTCAAGACGGTGGGCACGAACGATTAATAACCGATATGCCGTTTAATTGCCTGATGCATTATATTATTATCTTTGAACCACCTGTATACCACACTATACTTATATACAGGGTGTAACAAAAGTGTTGTAGGTCCCAGAAATGTGTCACTCGTGAGGTGATTTTGAACAAGTTTTTCCTTAGGAAAAATGTTATTCGAGGTTTTGTTAACGAGACATTCACGAAAACCCCTGACCAATCAGAGCGCGAGTTTTCTGATTGAGCTCTGATCGGTCGGGTTTTGTTTTAGAATATCTCGTTAAGAAAGCCTCGAATAACATTTTTAGGAAAACTTGTTCAAAATCATCTCACGAGTGACCCATTTCAGGAGCCTACAATATTTTTGTTACACCCTGTATATACAGGGTGTGTAAATAAAAATATGGGACATTTTCACAGGGTAGATTCTACATACGTAATTAACACGAAAATCAGTAATGACGGAATTGCGTTTGTGGTTTCGTTTTCGAATTATTAATTGTTGGAAATACGGGTGAAATACGTCTGGAGCAATGGGTTATACTACTTACAACAGTCAATTCCCAGCTGGTACATCGATCGATGACCTACTTAGTTAAATTTATGAATGAAATAACATCAAATGAGTGGAACTAACTCGTGAAACAGTTCTTAAATACACTAATCTTCAGACATATTTTACGCGCATTTCGCATGTATCTTCGACAATTAACAACTCGGAAACAAAGCCTCGAACGTAATTTCGCTATCCTTGATTTTCGTCGTAGAATTCACCCTGTGAAAGTGTCCCACAATTTTATCGACACCCTGTATATGTTGTACTCTTGCATTCGTACACGGGAACGCATAAACGGGCGCGGACGCACGAGTTGCCACGGTCGAGGTCTTCCCCCACTCCGTTCTTTTGGAACTTGGTTATTGGATCACGAAGCGTGAATGCACTTCTTGGATTTGTACGGACGATCGTAGAGCGTAACGTTTTACAAAGTTCCGGGAGAATGGAGCTCAGGGCGAGGGAGAAGTTGTGATACCAGACTGACTTTTAACCTCTTGAATTGGAATCACGTCTTTGAAATATTGCGGATTGTTTTGGAGATTACGGATCCTAATTAGCGTTGTGTTAATATTAATATAAGTGCAGTTTCCTTCAAGTAACCCCTGCAATATATAGCGGATATGATTAAAGATTGAGAATATTAAAGGACTAGTAGACAGGTTCGACAGCTGGACTAATAAATAGACATCAAAGTACTTTAAACATCTTCGCAGGAAGATCCTTTCCAGACGGTATCAACGACTTCGACCTCACCCTCAAGACACTCGTACATGCAATATAATAAATGCATCGTGCATTTTATCGTGCGTACGTGCAGTTATGTCTCCGACCACCGTAGTTAGCGTCACTGACCTATAGAATACGCCTCTCACCACTGATCACATACCACGCTATGAACTACCGCCGCCAATCCAGCAACTTACATCTCTCGCCGCAACCATGACCTGCATTTCCCGCGCGACCGATATATCTATCTATACGTATATCGAAGGGAGCGTCGATAAAATTTCGCGGCGCCTGTTCGTTCTTTTTATTTAAAGTTCCGCGGGGGAAGCTCGCCCACACCGAAAGGTAAGACAATTTTGGAGAGCGGCGCTTGCCCAGGTTCGAGACACTACTCAACGAACAACAATATGTACCATTGAAGATCGTGAAAGATTTTCAGCTTGATCACGCAGCCAAATATTACGCGATAAGGAATTTACGAACGATTGAGTTCTGATTGTTGCTTTTAGTCAGTCTTTTGCATATATAGTTAATTGAATAGAACGCGATCGAAAGACGTTGGAACCGAGGAGGGAAAATGCAACTCTATTTTGGGGTAAGTTGAAGAACAATTGTGTATAAATAAATAGTATATAGTTCAGAGGATAGAGATATTGTTGATTAGATATTATTGTAGAAATGTGCATCAGGCAGCGAATGATGTCGACTAATTTTATATCACGAATTGTTAGTTTCAGAATGAACAAATTGTTCTCGCAGTGTATACGTCCTCGTGGATTGAGTAGTCGTCAATCAGACGACACGAAGTGCTGCAAAATTGGAGCAAAGTTTTATTAAATTAATATAGAGGGTTAGAGGTTTCTTTTTGTACATAGTAACCAGACCTGGGCACTTCTGAAATGATATCATTTGAAATATTATTTCAAATAACATTTATTTTATTTTCTAATAATTATGAAATTGTCTTTCGAAATTATATCAGGTGACTAGGTCTGAGTTTGGTTTATTGACATTTTTATGAATACATCTTCCACACCGGTAAAACGATTATTTTCGTTTCCAACAATACTAGATGGGCCCAAGCAAAAATTTCTGACGGATGAGTTTTTTGAAGAGCGAATTTTGCTTAAAGCAAATTGCTGGAAAGATTTCTTAAAATAAAATTTTTCTGTTGTATATTATTTTGTGTACTATTCCTGTTGCCAAATTTGAGATTCAAAAGTAACCAAATAATTCAGTATTTGAAATTGCTATTATTTCAAATGAATCGATAATATTGTTATTTTAACATAACAGTATTGAAAATAAAGTTCCGAAATAAATTATGTCAAATAGTTATTTCGTATTTTCATTTCAAATAAAATTTGCCCAGGTCTGATACTAACATATGAACAACATAGTCTACATAACTCACTATCCATGTTTCGAGAACACTTTTTTCAGTTGCAAGAATGTTTCATGACATTCTTCCCAGGAATTTCGCATTACGATCCGCGAGTCATACATTTTAGAAACATTTCCAGAAACATTCATGCCAAGAATTGCATTTTCCATCCAATCTATGATCGATACTCGCTCCAGACCAAGTACATTATTCATTAACTAGTAACAAACATAACTTTCGAAAGTAGTAACCAGAGCTCGAGAAACGATGCACATTTCGAAATCGTCTTATCTTTCATCTGCCGATTCATCCCACGAAGAGAAAGGGATCATTGCTAAACGTACATATTTTTCTTTATTTATAATACTGACAAGGGAGAGACTCCAACTGTCCGACTTTGATTTTAACGGGGTTTTGTGACATAATAGTATACAAGATATTAATACACCCTGTATTATTCGAAGCCCATATACTATCGTCTTAAAAAAAGCCTCCATTAAAATCAGAGTCGAAAAATTGGAATCCTCCCTCTGTAAATCCTAAACTAGAATGTCGCATACAACGGGCCCCAGGGTAAACAAATGGTACCTTTTTGAAACGATAACCTTTTACCTAATGAATGGGTACCTTTTTTTTAGGGGAGGCTTGTTTTACGAGTTTGCTACACCTTGTTCACGAATTACGGGGCTCCTTATATAATGCACCGTGCATTTATTTACCATGCATTGGTAGAAACGCCAGCATGCTTCATCCTCTCGAGGGAATGGTAACGCGTGTGCGTTTCGAGAACCCGCGACGGCATGGATTTAATGCCCGCCGCGCGCGGTTGCTCGAACACGAACCCCCTCCTGTATATTCTCCACTTTTCCGTGCGCTTTGTGGAACTGGCTACGCCCGTGTCCTGACGGATTTACGAACCGGAATTTTTATTCCCCGCGAGCCGCCGAACCGACATTGTAAAGTTCCACGGAACAACCCAGAGATTACCGTTTCGCGTAACCACGGAAACCGACGTCTTCGCGGCTCGTTTGCCGCCCGCCTGATGGCCGAAATTAATCCAGGACGCTCGCCAATTAATCTAGGACAGGAGCTAATTAACGCTGGGAACGTTAAACTGACGATCGAGTTGTGGAATTTTTATTGTTCGCGTATGTCATTCTCGAATCGCTGAATTGGACAATCTTTGTTGTCAAAATCTTTTTTTTTATCGCGGGATGATTTTCTGTGAATGAATTTTTCTGTAATTTACGGATTTCGTGTAGTTTCGGTCGCTGAACCAGTTCCTGATCGGAACCCAATCCCTGGTCAGTTTAGTATATAGATCCATGTAATAAGTTTCTTATAAGAAAGATTTTATTCCAAAAAATTACTAAATAATTAATAACTAGATTGAAGTTCATATGTAAAATTTGGTAGCTCAGAGTGAGATACAGGTATATGATTTAAGTGATCAGAAAATGCTCCCTTTGCACTTCTTACTTTAAATGTTAATTTATAATCTAAGTGTATTACTATTTCTGCACTTTTCTTAATACCAAATTAATGGTAGAGCATAGATTTATGCGAATAACGACAATTCTTTTGGATTTGGTTAATATTTTACTTATACGATAGTGAAAGTTCAATAATTTATAATGATGTGTTCATATTACTTGGAACCTGGTACAATCTTTAAATAAATATGATTCTATCTGAATTCGTTTTCTATAAATTACTTCATAGAACATTGTATTTGCAAAAACTTCTGCAGTCTAGTAATATTACACACAGTGAAGAGAATGAGATATAGTTCAAGATATCTGACTTTCAAATATTTCTATGCGCAACAATAGTTCAGCAAGTAGAGCTCTATTTTTTGATAGACTAACTTCAAACTGAAACTTTTGGTGGATTTAGAAAGCTGCAATTACATCCACGATTTTACTCAATTACTTCGAGTAAATATGGAAATTTAAATTGAGTCCCTTAGAAAATTTGAATAATACCCACTTCACGAACGTGATTTCGCTTTTGCATCTGACGAACAGTAATAGGGAAATGACCAAGGTACGACGAATTACGCATAGCAGAGACTATAATTTCGTTTTTCGTTTTTCATTCATCTCGTTTCATTCTACACTCGCGAAAGACAGAGCACCGAAATCTTTGTCTCTATTTTTGGAAAGGACTGATTTGCAGGAATTACGCTCTCTCGGTGAATTGCAACTCGTCTGTCTGCATGAACGGTCCCAAAAGACTATCTTCGAACTTCGTTTCGCTCGAAGATCTTGCAACTTCATCGTTAGGTATGTATACCTAAGAGAATTAATCCCCCCAGTGCCCGTGCT